TATATATATATATATATATATATATATATGTAGATATAGTTATTGAATATGATTGTTAGTCTTATGGGCAATACGTTTACACAGTTACCAAGATGCTGGCCGAGGCTGGCGGGTGATTTTATAGCCGCTGTTTCTAACATACTATATACCATATAGAATATGTAATATATACAGTATATATATATATATTATATTGTGTTATACATATATCTATATGTATATACATATAGCGAATGTATTTACTAGTCAAGAAACACACAAAAACAAAAAAACTAACTAAACAGGAAAACAAAAACAACTTTTATACAAACTTTATGCAACGTTTTGTAGCTGGACTCAAAAAAAAAAAAAAAGAAAAGTTATTTAACTATAGGTATAAAATAAAAATACAGCTACTGATAAGCATTTATCACTGATCTAAAAACATAAAGAAACCACACAAATTATATACTTATATATACTTATATATATATATTTATAAAATTAATCAATCAACAATTGATAAATCGCAAAAATAGTGCAAATTTCAAGTTTCTGAGCCGTTCATTGGGGCCCGGCCATAGCTAAAATTGTTTATTATGTATGTGTGTGTGAGAGAGAGCGTATATATGTATGCGTGTTGTGCGTGTGAATGTTATTTAAAATGTTGTGCACATTTGTATAAATGTAATTACGAACTTTGTTGCTGTTGCTTTAAGTCCTGTTACGAATTGCATAGATAACAATAACAATCAGATTAGCATTAATCATAGTCGAATACTTATGTTAAAATTAACACACTCATACACACACACATGTACACAGCTACGCAAATTGTTAACAGAATTATGCATCTTATTAGTTAAATATGTAAATTGCACTCGACAAAAGGGCTGCAAAGTAAGAAATCGACTTCCTGGCTTATCCCTTGTAAGGTAATCAATATTAACGGGGATTTCAGGCAGGCGAACTGATCTGATTCGCTTTGCAGCCCTTCATACAAAAACGCGCTTTATCTTAAGATCTGTTAATTGCAATAAATTATTTACCTTTGACATATTTTAGCGCCCCGACCTACTACAGAAGTAGTTCAATAAAGTATGTACACCGTTTTCTACAAAAATATTTATTACAAATGTTTCATTTCTTTCGCTGTTAAACTTAACAGTCGGTGCTTCGCAAAGCTAAATTGTACAGTTTGCTGTAATGTTAAAGTTAGTCAAGCTCCGAACCATTTACTTGACTGAGATAAACAGCTTTTGGGAAAGCTTTTATAGGCGGTTTACAATGCCTCATATTTTTTTTCATCATCAGGAGAAGGGAATTTTGATGATTGATTGCCTTGCTGTGAATTATTTATAACTTTATGTTTAAATGTAACTTTTTTTATTTTAATATCTCTAATAAAACTTAAACGTTTTAAAATACGTGCTTTAACAGAAAATATATAATAGCTTTCAAACTTCAGTTACAATTTACAGTTTTTTTTATTTTGGTTATATATATATATAAGTATTGCTAAAAGTTTATTTTGGTGAAGAATATATTAACAGTGCCAAATTTTTAAATATTCGTAGGGCGTTGATTAAATCTAAATTTCTTCATGAATTTTACTACTACTTTATTCAGTTTATGAATAAAATAGTAAACAAATTTGAGTTTAAAATCCGTAAATGTTTGAGGATATATTTCGTTATTTATACTTTACCAGCCTTGCCTGGCCTGTGTTGGCTTGGGCTGCTCTAGTCTGGCCGTAATACAAAGAAGCTTGGCCAATTTTCATGCTCCTAATGCCGTACAAGCTAAGCAGCAGCTCACTTGTTCTGTTCATTGCGCAGAGCAGATGTTTGGGAGCGCTTTTATTTCCTCTGCACCTCCTTAGTTGCTAAAAATCCAACACCTACAGACATACACACATATACATACACAGATATGTGCACACAAACACAGAGGCTCACTTAGTTATACACTAAGCTGACCGCTGCTGGCCAAGCATAGTCCAGATGTTGGACTCTGTTGCCAGTTAATGTCGAGCTGCACACAGACAGCGATACACAAGCACACACACACTTACACACACACACACACACATACATAGAAAGATCTTTCCACTCTCGGCATTAATGTGGCATACATTTGGGGGCACACCGCAAATGCACTTGTCCAAGTACAAGTCTGTCCAAGCTTTTTAACTCACACGCATACAAATGAAAAACAAAAATAAGAACCACATATACGCACACCCACAGCCACACAGACGCGCACACACACACATACAGTTGCAAACTGCCATTTTCCACTGGTTGTCGTGCAAGCGCTGCAAAATTTATGATTTTATTTCACGCTTGCTTTTCAATAACGTTGCCTTTTGTTGTTGTTGTTGTTGTTGTTGTTGTTATTGTAGTTGCCTGCCAAAAATTATAACTTCTTTTTGTTGTTGGCCTTTTCCCTGAGCTGCGCTACTCTACTGACGCTTGTTAACCTTTTTCTAGTTGCTTTTGCGAATACATTTTTTTTTTTTGACTCTCTCCTCACGCCTCTTCCTCTTTCTGCTGCTTCTCCTGCTTCTTTTCTACTAATTTTTGGCGCACAGGCACTGGCAGCGGACTGGGCTATGAAGGCGTGTCCGCTGCGCCCTAGAGTCAAATTTCCGCAAAAGTTATGCAGCAGTCGCCACGGAACAGGGAACATGTAGCAACAGCACATTTTGTAGCCATTTCATGTTTTTTTTCTCTTTTTTTTCTGTTGCAACATTTTTATTTAATTTTTATTTTATTTTTTTGTGTGTGCCATTGGCTAAGCGAAAAGCAAATTGAGCAGGGCTGAGGGGGTCAACGGCGATGGGGTGGGGGAGGGACCTCAGAGCTGAGTAGGAGCTGGCAGGTCAGGCTGGTGGTGCACTGCCTGCAGGCAAGCGGCTAGCTGACCGCATATATAATTATTTCATATGAAACATGTATGAAAGCCCGCCAGTGCCACACACACACACACAGACACACAGACAGAGACGCCACGGCACGCCCCTTCGTTCTGCTGCGGCTCGTTGACCAAGGCAACTCAACTCAAGGCAGCATTCGCATATTTTGTACAAAAATCAGCAAAAGTGAATTAGTGCGGAGCATGCGAGGAGGGAAGGGAGAGGAAGAGGAGAGAGAGAGAGAGAGCGAGGAGAGGACGAACCTGCAATGCAGTTGGTCGCCTAATGAAAATTGTTGTGAAATAAATCATTTTAAATAATTTTCATTTCTATATGTGGCTTCACACATACGCAAACTCACACACGCGTGTGTGGCCGTGTGTGTGTGTGAGTGCTGGCTTTTTAAAGTTTAAATTGAAATGAAAGCCAAGTAGCTGCAATGGACTTTGCACTTTGC